TGAAAATAAACATTTAACTCATACATAAACTGGTGATTCACTGAAAGTGTTATTTACATTTTCACTTGCCTATAAGCTGAAGCTGGTTGCACAGAAAAATCCTTTTGCCTTGTTTGCACACATATGATTTGGGACTAATACCTTCCCAACATTATTATCTTCACAATACAACATGCAACTCAATAACGAAGGCAGTGATTGTTGCATACAATTTTGTGCAAGTCATGAAAGGTATGTTATCACTTGAAATCTAGTCAGTTAAGGATTAAAAATAGGCTTAAGTGCTATTTGAGATCTCTTTATTTTTTAAATGCTTTTATCTACTTCATTACAGTATGAAGGACTAATAATAGAGGATCCTGAGTACATAGAAATCATGGTTCACTTTGCCTAGTGCCTACTCCAAAGCCACTTGAAACAGTAGGAGCCTTTGCATAGCAGATAAAGTGAAAAAAAAACCCTATTTTTTTCCTTCAGACTCCAATTTACAGAAACAGAAGTATTACTTCACATGCAAATCCTTTTTACTGTAGTCAGACTATTTATAAAGTTTATTACATATATTATTAAAACAATAAAATCTCTCAATTTTATTTTTCTCTTACCAGGTCTCAAAACACTCTGAAAGCTGAAGCCTCAATTTTGAAATGATCCGCCTAGAAACCAATTCCTGTTCTCTCTTGGAATCTCATGAAGTAAACAGGTAAAAGGCTCTGTAGAGCTTACTCTGGGATCAACGTGTGTGAGGACAGGAAGAATATATTTTTTGAATAAAATATAACATCATTCTTTTTTCTTGGTATGAAGACAGGCTGAGAGAGTTGGAGGTGTTCATCCTGGAGAAGAGAAGGCTCCATGGAGACCTTAGAGCCCCTTCCAATGCCTAAAGGGCTTTAAGAGAGCTGGAGAGGGACTTTTCAAAAGGGCATGGAATGATAGGACAAAGGGAATGACCTTAAGATGAAGGAGGGTGGGTTTAGATTAGACATAAGAAATAAATTCTTTAAGGGTGGAACAGGTTGCTCAGAGAGGTTGTGGACTCTCCCATCCCTGGAGGCATTTGAGGCCAGGTTGGAATGGGGCTCTGAGCAACCTAGTTGAGTGGAAAGTGTCCCTGCCCATGGGACCTTTAAGGTCCCTTTCAACCCAACCATTCTATACTTCTGTGATTGTCTATCCTGAGATATTGCCATGGCTCTGGAGCTCTGAGGCTCAAGCCTTGCAAATGCAGTAATTTAACTGCAGACCAGTGAAAATTAACACAGCAGACAAACAGTGAGCTGCTAAATCTCCAGCAATAACAACCCTGCTTAATCTTATGGACGCTCGCATCCATTTTTCCTACAAACAAGCTGTGCTGATCTCACACGTACCCAGCATCCAGATTCATCTCACGCTGGGTTAGGCATCCAACCTCGGCTCCCAAGGCAAGAGTCTAGCTGCCCTGGGCTCCCTCTGGAGTCAATGAGAAGAGACAAGCATCTTGAGCAGGTGATTCATGGACCACACCAAAGATCTGAATCACTCCCATGGAGTGGCTCCCTCGCTCCAGTGATTACAGAGGAAACCGAGGGTAAATGGGTTCATGATGTAGGTGGTCAGCCAGGTGGAATGTATCCAAACCGGTTCTAGTTGGGCAGGAGTTGCATTATCATAGCTGGTTCTGAATCCTTGACTCCAGTTTCTTCTTCCAATATTATTCACAACTATGCCACATGAATGTGGCCTTTCCTAAAAATATTTTTTTTTTCAAAATGGATAATATGCAAATCTATTGCCCTGAACTTACAACTGAATGCACTTTTAGGTCAATATCTTTCATGATAGTTATAAACTATTTGAAGATGTGCTGAAATCAGTCTACACTAAGTGAATGTACTACGTTTGTATTAGGTATCATGGGTATATTTCACTTCATATTGAAATAAATGATACTTGGCTTTAGAAATCCTTTCTAGCTCAAGCGGATTTCTGCTGCTGTAAATCCATACAAAAAAGACAAGAGCAGCAATAATTCTAAACTGCAAATTGCACAACTGAAGCTGCAACTAAGCTGAAAACCTTTTCTAGTTCAGCAGGTTTGGACTTGAGTGGGCATATGTGGTTTTGGTTGCAGGAATAGCAGCTGAATTAAAAAAAATATTTATGGTCTTGACATAGGTAGGATTCCCATTAAAATAAATTGTGTAAGTTCATCTGGTCAACTCCAGGTTTGTGTGTGCTTTGTGGAGATTTTTCTTCCAATCAGAGGGAGTAAATCCAACTCAAAAACCCTCTTAAATTTCAGAGCAGCCAATTCTGATTTGATTTACACCTGCCTAAATCCAACACACATCCATGTAGACCCATATACAAATAAAATGTCAATCTTAAGAACTGTGTCAAGGCCCTGTTTCTAGAAGTCACGGCTTCTATTGCCAAAGGGCTGACACTTTTACCAGTGCACTTATGGGCATAACCATTAATTACCTGTGTCCTCTTCTCTATAGGCCACCTTCCAGCCTCTTCCCCTCTCATTCCTTCTCCCTCAGGCAAAGTGTTTCCTCTGTCTAGCAACCTCTGGAGACATTTGTTACAGTAACAGAATGGTCCAGGTCACATATATCTACTGACAAAAGGATAATCAGTGCTGTTGGCAAAAGCCCTTTTCTTTCATCTATTCATTTTGGTATGAAATGTGTTCAGAATGCATTTTGCTGCTAAGTCATTTAGTCATCTGTAAAGGATAAGAAGTAAATAAGGTACCGTCAGCTTGACTCACAGGGGAAAAAAATGCGTAGACACTCTTGGACTATTTTCAGTGGAGGTTTTGTGCTCAAGCAGGGTGGCTTCGAGGCTCACAAAGGAAACCTCAGCACAAATGAAGCATAAAGCACTCAGTGGGCAGAGAAAGCAGTGGGGGAAGCAAACAGAGAAGTGCTTTGCTCCTTCACCTTCTGGTGGACAGCTCTTCCTTGCTGGTGGCAGCAGGTGTTTGTCATCAGAGCTGCCAGACCTCAACATCTCACCCTGCAACACTCTCTGGCAGGAAGAGGTTGCTGTTTTGCTGAGCTTGGATAAACATTAGGATCTAATTTATCATGTGACAGGAAAGGAAAACCTTTCCCTCTTCCCCCATCCCATTTTTAACAGCCTTTGTTTGAATTTCATCAGAATTTTTGAGGTGCAAGGAGTGGGGAGATATTTAACCTGGGTCTCTGAACTGATTATTCTGCTGTCAGCTGATGTACGTATGGCTCTTTCTAGACACAACTCCAAGTGTTACATCTCACTGAATGACATGGACAGGGAGCCAGACCTCTCACTGGACTTACAAAAGAGACATCACACTCATTTAATTAAAAAGAACTGAGCTGCTGCTGCTGTTCATGTCATACAGTATATCCTGTATTACATGCCCAGGAGGAAGAAAAAAAGGAAACTCTTTTCCTTGTCCTACAAAGTAAATAGGAATGCTGAGAAATATTTTGGTACTTGCAGAACCTGGGAGTTCTCTTGACTTTATTGTTTCATGTGTATTAAGTGCAGTACAGAGCATTATGCAAAGATCTGATTATTCAGTTTTATTTGTGGCATTCCAAGTCCTGGCCCTACATTGATCCACTCTCAGTTACTGTGGACTGCATACAGGCATAGGAGTGTGCCCAGGTGGCCAAAAAGGCCAACGGCACCTGGCCTGTATCAGGAATAGTGTGGCTAGCAGGACCAGGGAAGTGATTCTTCCCCTGCACTCACCACTGGTGAGGCCGCACCTCGAGTGCTGTGTCCAGTTCTGGGTCCCTCTATTTAGGAAGGATGTTGAGGTGCTGGAGCAGGTCCAGAGAAGGGCAACGAGGCTGGTGAAGGGTCCAGAGCACAAGTCCTACAAGGAGTGGCTGAGGGAGCTGGGGTTGTTTAGCCTGGAGAGGAGGAGGTTCAGGGGAGATCTCATCACTCTCTACAACTCCCTGAAAAGAGGTTGGAGCCTGGTGAGGGTTGGTCTCTTTTCCTAGTCAACCAACAGTAGGACAAGAGGACACAAGCTTCACTGGGGGAGGTTTAGGTTGGACATTAGGAAGAAGTTCTTCACAAAAGGAGTGAGTGGGCATTGGAACAGGCTGCCCAGGGAGGTGGTGGAGTCACCACCCCTGGAGGTGTTTAAGGAAAGACTGGATGTGGCACTCTGTGCCACGATCTGGTTGACAAGGTGGACCCCAGGGGTCTTTTCCAACCCAGTTGATTCTGTGATTCTGAGCGGAGCTGAGGCGATGGGCGCAGGCCAAGGCCGAGAGGGCACACTGAGGCGACGGGAGCGGGTTGGGACAATGAGACCCATCCCCGGCTTCCCCTCAGATCGGGCTGCCCGCGGCGGACCGCAGCCCCGCACTGGCCGGGCCTGCGGCGACACGCAGGCCCCGCCACGGGCTGCGACTGCGGGGAAACTGGCACACGCCGCACTGACTCCTCCAGTCTTGCCCTTTTCTCATCCCTCAGCGAACCCGCCTCCCTCCCCGGGCGGGCACCGTGGACGGCGGGACTATCGCTTGTGTGGCAGGAGCCGGGGCGCCGGGCCTCGAACCTCGCACGCGCGGGGCGGGCGGGAGGGAGTGACAAACGGGCGATAGGAGCGGGCGCGCCGCGCGGTGCATTGTGGCGCCGCCAGTGATGCTGCTGGAGCCGATCGGAGTGCGCTGTGAGCGCCGGGAGGCGCAGGGGAGGCAGAGGCGGCGCTCGGTCTGGCAATACTCGGCAAGCGCTACCGGCGGCATCGGGCTCCGCGGGCTTGTGCGCCCTCAACCCGGTGCGGGAGAGCCCCCCTCGCCGGCCAGCCTACGCGCGCAGCGGGCGGAGCCGGGCCGGCCGAGGGAACGCTTCCCCGCCGCTCGTAGGGGCGGGAGGGAAGGGACGTCGCTCGCCGGCTTCCGCGCCGGCTCCGCTGCGGCGTGCTGGGGCCCTCCGGCGGAGCGGTAGGAGAGGAAATCAGGCGAGAAGGGGAGGAGAAGCCCGGCCGCGCTGCCCGTAGGCGGGCGGGGGAGCAGCAGAGCCCCGCCGCCCGCAGCTTTGTTCGCCGGGCCCTCCGACGCTCGTCCCGCTCTTCTGCCCCAGTCCGCGCGCCCTCCCGGTTCCTTTCTTTCCCCTCTGCGGGATATCTCAGTGTGGGAGCGTCGCCTGCGGAACCGACCCGCGGTGCGGGACTAGGAAACAACAGGTCTTCCCCCCACCTCTCCTCGCCTTTTCTCCGAAGTGGCACCGGCGCCTCGCTGTTGGGATTATAAATGTTTGAACTAAGACCCAGGGAACTGGAAGGAGAGCCTCCCGTTGGAATTAACAGGAGAGAAAACAAGGGAGGCTTTTCCAAATCCTCCGCAAGAAAGCCCGTGCTGTTTTTTTCCCGTGCTGTCCGCACGGTGTTTAATAATGCGATTGTGACCTGAGTGGAATTTATGAGCAAAGAACTAATTGAAGCTTCTTGCACCGCTGCATCGGACTACTTTTTTTTTGTTGTTTTCTCAGCACATGATTCCTCCATCCCAGCTGTTGCCGGACCTGTGGGCCAGTAATAGAGGGATGGGAAGCTGAGGCAGTTTATTTTAACATTCTTCTGTTCCGGGGACTTGGCGAGTTGGCTGAAGCTGCTGCTGCTTTTTACTGGATCTGCTCTTTCCTCGGCAGGTTTATTTGTTTTCATGTGCACGGGGTGTTTCGATTAAACAGACATTGGACTGGAGCTGAATGGATGCTTTGCAAGCCGAAAGGTTTTGGGAGGTAGCAGAAAACTGCTAGAACAGAGAAGAACTGGTACTGCAGGAAACCTGGGTCCTGTCTTCCAAGCCTTTTTGTTTTATTGAGCAAGGTAAATAGCGTAGTGGGGAAAATACAGGGCTTATCGTAGTCATGCATGAAAGCGTTACAAAGCATCTCAGACCGTTCCAAGTCTTTCAGGGGATAGAGAGAACTCACAGTAAGACTCAGAATGAGTTTAGTTGTTCTTTAAAATGTTCAGATATGGGTATGAAATATAAGGCTGAGAACAAAGTTCGTGCCACCTGAGAGGTTGAGAGAACTGCTTTTTCTGATGTACCTTATGTTCTTGTAGGTTTGTGATGGTGAGAGAGGCTGTCTGAAGAACTAGAGAAGTCTTAGTGGTTCAGTGAGAGTGTGCAGTAATTATATTAGTGGGTTTTTTTCCATGCTTTTTAAAAACTTGATGCCTTAGCTCTGGTAAGGATCTGTTAGAGTCTCTAAAAAGTCCTCCCACTTTTAACAGTAGTAAGGTGCTTACATTTGCATTGTTTTAACTGTGTTCATTCTCTACCTTTAATTATTTTTGCTTACCTTTCCTTTTGTTATCCACATTGACAGCTGCTACTACTTTGTAATGATTTTTTTTGCTTTTATCTTCCTTCACATATTTTATCTCCTGAATTGGACTATTTGGATTTACCTCTCATTTACATGTATCACTTTCACCGTAAACTTTCTGCAGCCAACAAAAGCTCAAAGTACTGTTTTAGATGTGATCTTTATACGTTTGAAGCATTGGAAGGAACAGATAATGATTCTCAAAATGTGCAGTGTAAGCAGTTACTGGGTTAAGTGTATAATTTTGGGGGGCAAGCTGCATGCCTTATCTTTGTGGTTTTTTTCTTAAAGATCTCGGCAGCAGTTCACTCCTGACAGAAATATAAATCCATTAAAATGAGATCACACTTTGAAACGTGGCTGTAAAAATCTGGTTTTGCAAGAAGTCACAAGATTCTCATTACGAAGTGATGCCTTGATTAAATCGACTGTGTTACCTTTTCTCAGCCTTAATGAAACAGTGGCAAACACTGAGGTGTTGGCAGCCCTTGCTGATTCTATCATGGGGAAAAGCTAAGTGGGTATTATGGGCAGCACTCAAAATGCCTGTTTAGATCTGTTTAACTCGACTTTATGGTCTTTGTCTCGTTTCATTTCAAGATGATGTGTGAGGTGATGCCAACCATCAGTGAGGCCGAGATTCCTGCTGGGGGAAATGGAGGCCACGGTTCAGGTTCCCCATTACAGTCAGATGCTGATTCCCATTTTGAGCAATTAATGGTGTCCATGTTGGAAGAAAGGGATCGCCTCCTGGAAACACTGAGGGAAACTCAGGAGACCCTGGCACTGACCCAGGGCAAGCTGCATGAAGTCGGTCATGAGAGAGATTCCTTGCAAAGACAGCTCAATACTGCACTCCCACAGGTATGGACATCTTGAAAGGAAGGTACCTTTCCATAATTTCTGTATCCTTTGTGGTGTTTTGTTGGCTTTTTATGTGTTTAATTTGCTGAAGAGTCAGGTTGTGTTAGGGGAGGATGAATCTGGCTTAAGACTATCCTGAAGTGTCTGTTGGTGCTTACTCACTTTGAGAAAGGTACAAAAGCAAAGCATGGCAGCTGTTTCCCTCCAGTGTCCTTTCCCAGTTGCTGGAATTTCTTTGGCTTAGGATGAGTATGAAGTTGTATCTACATTGTATCGACATCCTTTTGTTTCACAGAACTTGACGGACTTCCGTCACTATTATTTCTTTAATGCTGTTTCTAACTGTCTGATTAAATCATGTGCTGAAGAATTGATACCTGGTCGAATGAAAGGTGTTCAAGGGGGGTTTGCAATGAGATGGTCTTTAAGGTCCCTTCCAACCCAAACCATTCTGGTATTCTATGAATATTCCATACAGGCCAATCTGACACTATTATGGACTTTTGATTTAAAACTTGAAAAGGTGAAGACTGATATCTTGTGAATACATGCTGAGTTGTCATGGCAATGTAGGAGTCTGAGTGTGTTGTTCAACCCATTTAGTTACTTTTGAAAAGTTTGGATTTGTTTTTTTTTTTTTTTTTTGTCCTGTTAGGAGTTTCTAATTCCTGACTTGGAGGATGCAGTGCACCAGCACGTGGCCCGTGGTGCTAAGTTTGTTATGTTAGGAACATAGTTAGGAAAGGTGATTGGTGCCTACAGAACTTCTTGGGTTTTATCCATTCTGGTTAAAAATAGTACAAACTGAACTTTGAGCATGTTGAGAAGCATTTAGTTGTAGGCAAAGCAGAGCAGAGGCTGCTTTAGGTGTTGGTTAACTGTTGATAGCCTTGTGCTTTCTAGCATGTCCCCAGTGTCACAATGATGTTAATACTTTTACAAATGTTTACATATCCTTAAATATATTGTAGTTGCTGTTTATACCCTTTGAAACAGTAGTTTTAAACTCTTGTGTTTCACTTTCTTATTATAATGTAATCACTGTGTGACTCTTGGTGTCGTAATTGGTCCCGGCAATTACCGAGGGATAGAAACAAAAAAAAGTTATACATGTTAATCTAGTTGTGTTTCAGTGGTGTGATGGAAATCTGAAAGGAGAAGTTTCCAACTTTTGCTGTTGCCTGTGTTAAATCATGTGCTGCAGGCAAAAATCGTTTATTTGGTTTTTTGTTGTAATAACTGTGGCTTCTCTTCAGCCTCTGTGTCAGGTCTGCTGCATTAATGGATGCCATTAACCAGTTGTGTGACCTGGAAACTGTTACACTTGCATTTGTGGCTGAGTAGAATCACCCAAATTCCAAACTGTGCTGTTCCCCTTTTCCGTTCTCAGCTTTCTTTCCTAAATCTAGTAAGCTAGATTTAAACGCCTCTTTCTAAACATTTCTAAAATATTAATAAACAGTTCCCACTTTCAAGAATGTCATAATTGCATGGCTTCCTGTGAAATCTGTAGGAAAAGCAAGTCAGTTCAGAGAGAGAAATTTTACTGCAATTTTATCTAAATACACAGCAGTGTATGGATTTTTGTAGATTGCTGTTAAAAGTACTGTTTTCATACTGTGAAACTGCCACTTTTGTCCTCAGTGGGGCTTGGCTTATTGTGGAAGGTGACAACTGATGGTGCTTTGAAGAGTAAGAAGTATTTTATTATTATTGCTACAATCAGCAGTAACTGCTGTATTTGACAAATTTTTGTTGTTTTGGTAGTCATGTCAGTTACTTCATAGGTGTAAATTTCTGATGAGGTGAAACAATATTTTTTTGAAATGCTAATATGTGTTCACTGTCGAAACTGTGGTGACTAATATTTGAAACTATTCACAGTTTTTTGTTAATTATTTTGAGCTGAGAGGTTTTTTTTTGAAGTACTGCCTCAAATGGCCCATTGTTTAACTGTGAATTTCAAGAAGGGTGGAAGCAGGATAACTTTAAATTTATTGACAGATGTGTTATATTTTTTCAGGAAAAAAGGGATAGTTGTGTACATATTTAATTTTTTTTTAATCATGATAGTTGTTTTCAATTTAGTAGATCTGTGAAGTTCAATTTAAGGAGTTGTACAAAAGACCGGTATAATTGCTAAATCACTGTGTAACCAAAGTGTTATTTCTCCCTCAGACTTGACTTGTAAGAAGTCTTTGTAGTTGATTTTAGAGTGCTTTATCTTAATGAATGTTGAACTGAATTGTTTATATGTTCACTTTTCCTGATTTATGTTTCTAGCTGAATCAACCAGTTTTAGACTGCTCTGATACTGATGAAAAATCCTTGTATAAAATATAAAAAAGGAATGCTGGATTTCTTCTATAGCAAAACTGTTTCTCTGCTTTTAGTATGAACACACTGAATTTCTGATGGAATCCCTGTATCAACTCCTTACATTCACTGAGCTTCTGTGTGTAAGAAAGAGGCTCAGACTGGTGTGTATATAGTGAATTACAAAATGGCAAATTAGTACTTGGGTATTTGCACATCTGGTAGATTATAAAAGCAAATGCAGGGGTTTTTTCTGTAGCAATGATACACATTTTCTGAAGCCTCAGAGGAGCAGACTTTTCTAGCACACTTAGTGTGGTGGGCAGGTAGGGATTTTAGATATCAGTTCTAGTTCACATAAACCTGGGACAGCTATTTAGAGTAAAATGCCTTTTGTTGGGGATGTTTAATTCACTGAGAGAAGAATATTTTAACATGATATAGATGAGCTTAATCTGTTACATTTACGCAAAGTAAAACTACCCTTTTTTTCCTTTTTATGGACAGCCGAAAATGAAATAATCACCACTGCCTTGATAAAATAACTGGATTCTTGGCAATGCTTTTTGTTTTCTGGGAGTTACCTGCTATTACACATTACCCCAGTCCAACTGTACTCTGACCTTGGAAGATGAACTTGAAGAATCAAATTGCTGTGCAAGAACTTAATTTTATTCTTTCCAGAATTTTTCACAGAAAAAACTGAAAATGAGCTTTTTAGTTATAGAGCTTATGGAACTTTAATGTAAACACATTCAGTTATGATTCTAATTATGGTCTTAGTGGATTTAATTATGCCTTTTATGTGCCTTGTAGAGTGTATTCTACAAAATTCAAGGTTTCAAATTTATAAATTAATCTGTGAGACATCCAGGATGCTACTGTATTTAAAAGTTAAATTTTGAACCTAAGGTAGAGAGGTCTAAGTGAGTACCAGTTCTTGCTATCAGGGTGTTGCAGGCCAGGGTTCATTTTGCTGGTGGAATTTCATGTGGATATTTCTGTAAATGAAAACAAGATGCTTGTTTTGGATGAAGGAGACTAGAGTTTAATTTACAGTGACTCTGATGCCTGTCACAAGTAGAAACACAGTAGAATTCACAACAGCTTCATCAGGATGAAAATTTCAATGTGTACGTTAAGAATTTTATAAGCTGATGTACAACTAATATGCTTCTGTAATGCAGCAACACTTAAGATTCATCTTAATCTTGCACCTCTAATATTTTGATCTTAAATTTATCATTTTTATTTCTATGCAAGGCAAGCAAAATAGTTTTTTCTGCATTTGTGATGGTCATGTTCAGTAATGGCTATATAGGAGCAGATGAGAACTTACGGTCAGGTGCTGTGTGTAAGTAAGAGCACTTTAATATGGAGTTAAATGTGGAAAAAAAAACTGCCTATAATTTTGATTTGGCTTTACCAGGTTGCTCATCAGATCTTAATTTTAAAATGAGTCCACAGCAGGTCATTTTTAGTTGCTTTCTACCCATAGTGAATAGTTTATCACTACTTCACGCTTCAGTTAAAAATAGTGTTAGTTTATATTAATTGTATTAATTAAATTCAGGTATGTCTCTATAGAATGATCTTCCTCAGACCATCTCAGAAATTCTGTTCAATGCCTCACATGTCAGAAATACCAAAACACTTGGTCCAGAGACTGCCCTCGTGTAGTTTTGTAATGATGGACTGAAGGATTTAGTTGCCATTTTATTAACAGTGGTACTTGGATTTCCTCCAGGCAAGTTTTAAGTAATGGATGTCGCAGATGTATAAGTGAGGTTTTGAATTGTGCATAATTTGAAGAACGCAGTTGCAGAAAGTGCATTAAGCAAAGGCCTTGCCAAACTCTGCAGAGGCTGAAATTTTCTCAGCATTGGAAGTGCAGCTCCATTTCCAGTATTCACAGATGTTCAACCTTGAGCTGACATGGCTTTTGCTTCTTACTCTGGCAAGAACTGTTGCTGACCTCTAAATACCAGCCATTAATATCAGCAGAGCACTGTGAGTTCAGAAATGGTGGAGATCCAAAGGGATCTCAGATGTGTAACTGTATGTCAGGGCAAATGTGTCTTCCACTTCTGTCATCCCCTTCTGACAGCAAAGACATGACTTTGTTGCATTTTCAGACAACTGACATTTTAATCTTGTCTCTGTTGAGTTTCAATTGCTAAACCTTGGTAAATTACTGGATAGATCTGGCTTTGCAGTTTAAGTCAAGATGGAGATAGGAGTTAATATTCAGAATTCTTCACTGACTGTATCAATAAACCTCAGCTTCCCTGACATTTCTTTCTTTGCAGAGTGTGGAAACAGCCAACTTTTGCCTAAAATCTTCAGACTATGAAGTTATCTGAAAGTATACACTTAAATAATGTATAAATTATTTAAACTACACTTAAATAATCTAGTGGAGTACACTGAGGACCAAGTCTCCAGCATTGGTTCTGACTTTTTAGTTTCTCATTTAAATATATTTGGGTTCGTTGTTTGAAACATCTCACCCCTGCCCAGCACACATCTGTTTGCCTATTGTTAGCAACTTTCTGTTTATACTGTGCTTTTAATTTAAGTTTTCTTTGTTATAAATAGACCTTTTAGATAGATTAAACTTGGAATTAATTTTAGGTTGTCTTGTACTTGAGGATGAATTTTAGTGGTGTTATGATGTCCCATTT